GGGGTACAGGTCCCTAAGTGGGGAAGCGACATTGTCTGTCAGTGGCCGCAATCCTGAAGGGATGGTGCATGGGGAAGGAGCGGGGGCAGTCGGGGAGGGTGTGTGTGTGTGGGTGGGGGGGCTGTAGAGTCACTAGGTGGGGGAGGGTGGCGGGGGGGAAGAAGGAGTTAGGGCTGTCGTCACTAGTGGAGGATGGTGGGGGGAAGGAATGGGGGCTGTAGTCACTAGTGGGGGAAGGAGAGGGGGCAATAGTCAGTAGTGGGGAATACTGTTGGGGGAAGGAGTGTGGGTTGTAGTCACTAGTGTGGGGACATGGAGTCTGTGTGGGTAGAGGGGGAGGGGTGTGTGTGTAGTAGAGGCTGATGTTCCTAAAGGGGACTGTGTCTTGTGGGGTGGGGTGAAGGAGCTTTTCTATGGAGAGAGCAAATTCTCTTCAGCCTGGGGTGTGGGCAGAAATCTGTAGGAGGACATGATCTTGAGGAGGGGCTGATTATATCCTTCAGTTTCGAGGACTGAAGTTTCTGAGGCCTTATCTTTACTGGGGGTGAGGGGAGTGTGTTCTTAACTAGAGTTAGCTAATTCAAGGGAAAATCCCAGTGAACTTGAGTTAGCTCACCCAAGTTAAGAGCACACCTTTTTCCTGGTGAAAGCCTATGGGGGTATGAATGATACCAGTCTTTTGGGGGTGGTACATGGACTCTCTGGAGGTATATGAGCTTGTGAGAAGATCTGTGTAGACATAAAGACTCTGAACCATTAGAGGTTGGGTTTGTTTATACTAGAAAGTTTTGCTGCTTTAACTATATTGATATAAAAATGCATATACTTTTCAGGAAGCAAGGTAGGCAATATTGATATAATTGTGCCCAGACTAGGGCTTATACTGGTAACTACATTGGACAAGGCAAAAAAAAAAAAACCTAGTATGAGACTGTAAGAGCCTACAGTGCTGGGACCTGGGACCATAGGGATTCTGTGCTGCTGTATGGCTAGTCGAGGCTTAGGCTGGGTTCCTACAGGAGGACTCTGTGAGGCTGAGCTTGACAGGAAGCACTGCCCAGTAGGACTTGAGTGGTAGCCCTTCGGAGCCCACTGATTGGCTGATACTTGTACTTAACCCAGGAAGCTAAGAGGGGAGGGCATCTGAGCAACAATGCGGACTGACTGCCTCTCTCCCTCTATCCACTTTAGACTCTGCTTGCACTAGACCCTAGACTCCAGCTTCTGACCCTGGTCTGTCCTTGTCTTTGATCTTCGATTGCTGTTTGTAACCTGGCGTCTGACCTTCATCTCCTGGTAATCTTCCCCTGCCTACATCCTGACTCTTAGTTTGTCCTCTGGCCTGTCTTGGACTCTGACCTCCTGCTACTTGACTTGGCCCGACTCCTGCTCCGACCACTACATCTGACCACCGTTGTCCAGTCATGACACAAACATAGTTTTCGGGATTTAACTTTTCTAGTTTAGGTGAGGCCTAAGCAGAAAGATTGCTGAGACACCATCAGTGAAAATGCTATAAAAAAGGTTATATAAAATTTGATTACTTAAGCGTTCCCATCTAGTCCTGATGTATATGATTTTATGGCATCCCACGCCCCATTTTTATTATCTTATTATGCTCAAACCTTTTCCTGTCCTTCACCATTGTGCATGCCTGCTGGCTTGTTGTGGGTTTTTTTTGTTTTAAGAGTTGCTTATGATTAGTAGACTCCTTGCATTGACAAAACCTTCAAAGAAAACAATATTAGAATATTTATTTTTGAATAAGGAAAACAAAGAAGAGGATCAACTTTGCAGATGCAAGAAAATAATTGCCAACAATGGTAAATCTACTGCCGTTTTGCAGTTTTCAGTTATAGCTTTCTATGCAATTATATTTCATGAAGTGATAAGAATTCTGTTGAAACTTGAAATATATCATGTAATTAATGAATTGGACCAGAGGTTTGTTAGAATGCTCCATCAGTTCAGATGTATTTTTTCCTAACAAATCCTGCTTTACTGCAACACAGTTGAAATTTTTTTTTAAAAATCAGAAACTGGGTATCTATAAGGTAACCCCCTGCTTGCTCAAACTGGCGCTATGTCCCCCTCTACTGGTGGCTAGGCACCCGAGAGAATGATGAGTCTGCTATAGCCTTGGCTAACAGATATTCCTGAGGGCATTCTGCACCAAAAAATTAAAAATTCTGAGTACAATATTTTAAAATTCTGCAAGTTTTATTTGTCAATAAATAAATGCAGAGGCTCCAGCATGGCAGTGCATGAAAGTGGGAGATCACCCTGCAGCCTCCCCATCCCAGGGACACGAACTCAGTGATGACGCTGCACCCAACCCTGATGCAGCACAAGGCCTGGGCCTGCCCCAGAAATGCCCTGGGGCCCTGCCCCTCTGCGCCAGGTGCACCAGGTGTGGGGCAGGCAGGCTGGCTCAATCAGGCAGGAGCCAAGTGTGGAGGAGCTCAGTGTTGGGGGATCCAGGTGTGGGGTCAGAGGATTCTGTGTGGGACAATCTGGGTGCAGGCAGCTCAGTGGGTTGTGTAGGTGTTGGGGGATCTGGATGCAGAGAGGCTCGTTGGGGGGGGGGGGCGGGGTTCCAGGTACAGGGGCAATGGGATTCTGGAGGGGCTTCCAGGTGAAAGTGGTTGGGGCTCAGTGGAGGAGTCTGGGTGTGGAGTCTCAGCAGGGGGGTCTGGGTGCTGTGGGAGTTGGGGTTGGTGGGGTGGGGGTCTGGGTGCAGCTAATTGGGGGTCTGGATGTGAGGGCTCAGGGTGGTGCAGGGGTGTGGTGCTCATCAGAGTGGGGGTTTGAGTGCAGGGAGCTCAGTGGGGGGTGGTCTGGGTGCAGGGGTGGGGGTCCACAGTCAGTGGGTTGGAGTGCAGAGGGCTCCAGATGCAGGGATTGAGGTTCAATGGGGTGGGGTTTGGGTATGAAGGGCTAGGGGGATTCTGGGTGTACGGGGTGTGGCTTGTCGGGGGTGTCTGGGTATGGGAGGTCCGGATGCACGGGATTGTGTGGATGGGGGAGCAGTTCCCCAAACAGTGACCCCTTCTCTTGCCCCCCCCCCCGCCGCAACTGAGGAGCGATGTGGGCAGGAAGCAGGGGAAGATGCTGAGCTTCCTGCAGCTAGGGGAGCTTTCTGGGGGTGGGTCTGACACAGCCCCAGCCACTCCTTGAAGGGGAAGAGGAAGTCCAGTCCTCTCCTGCCTCCAGCCCAGCCAGGATTAGCATCTGATCTCAGCTCAGGGTAGAAGCCACTGGCTGGGGTGTGCCTAACCCTGTGGTGATTTACCTCTCCACCGGCTGCTCCAGGTGCCTGAAACAATTTACCTGTGCAGCTAGGGAGTGGTGTGTGACTGCTCTTGCATCTTCCCTTTAGTTCCCTGTTAGAAAGTCATTTTTCTGCGGGGAAGCAAATAAATATGTGGGGAACATGAATGTTGCATGTGTGCAGTGGCGCAGAACTTCCCCAGGAGTATACAGAGATGTCTTTTAGCTCATACAGTAGAAGTTCATGTGTTTAGTTCCAGAGGGTCTCAGGTTTGATCCCCAATGCCCATGTGTGGGTTGGCGTTACGGTAACAAATCTGTGTTTGTGATATTTACAGGATTGTAATGGAGCTGAACTACAGGCTTATTAAAAGAAAACAATTTAAAGTAGTTATTACATCATAACATCCACTTCTCCATTACATGGCCCTTCTCAGTATTTAAAATTTATTATTCTCAAGTAGTAACTTATTTAAAATGCCTTTTAAAGCCTCTTTGCTGTTCATCTTGAATAAAAAAGCACTAAAATTAGGGACGAAGGTGTGATGCACAGGACTTCCGCTACGAGACTGATCTTCATTTACTGTTCCTTTGTGTGTGAGACTGGTCAGAGTTTAAAATAAAAAGTTAACTGATATTTATGTTGTTATAGTAACCCTTCTGCCAGGTACCAATGGCAGCAACAAGGACAACGTTCAATAAAACTATGGCTTGAGCCACCACCCACATCTGTACTCCTACCTCTGGCTCTGGGAAAGAAAAATAAAACCTCCCTGGTCACTTTTGCAGGTGGGATTTCCCCACTCAGAACCCTGGAGAAACATGGAGCCACAAGTATCTTTTTATTTAGGGAAAAACAATAAAAACAAACATGAAAACCATATTCATATTAACATACTAGAAAATGAACAGCCCAAAATCAGTGCACCAGGAGTCTGATCAACCATACAGTTCCAAATTGTAACTGTCTGGCTCCTTGACCCAGAACTCTTAGTGTCAATACAAATCACACTCACCCCAAACCCCACTTACAGGTCCAATTAGACGCAGTGGAAGCTGAGAAGTTGCTCGGCTCTGCCTGATTGCACCGGTCCAGAGAGAACTACTTCTCCACATCCCACTCTGAGGCGTAGCTACCTGATCCAATTCTGTGATATTACCTTTGTTTCTGCTGGTGTTGAGAGCCGTTGCCATCTGTACAGTCAGCTCTGCATGACTACAGCCATTGGTCCAGTCCTGCAATTTTACTCCACACAGGGCAAAGAATCTTCAGATGGAAAACCAAGACAAGACCCTTGCAACTGAGCTCTTAGTCTTTAGGATAAAGCCCTTTCCCCCTTGCTTTGTGTTGGACTTGAGTTTTGTTACCAAACTAAAGTCCCTATGTAATCAGGGTCAGTGGTTCTCAACCTTTCCAGACTACTGTACCCCTTGCAGGAGGCTGATTCGTCTTGCGTATCTCAAGTTTCACCTCACTTAAAAGCTACTTGCTTACAAATTCAGATCTAAAAATACAAAAGTGTCACTGCACACTGTTACTGAAAAATTGCTTACTTTCTCATTTTTACGTCTAATTATATAATAAATTGCGACCCCCCCCCCCCAGATTGAGAAACACTGATAGTATATAGAACAGTATAAATAAGCCATTGTATGAAATTTTAGTTTGTACTGACTTCGCTAGTGCTTTTCATGTAGCCTGTTGTAAAACTAGGCAAATGTCTAGATGAGTTAACGAACTCACTGGAAAGACTTGTGTACCCCTGGTTGAGAACCACTGCTCAGGGTGATCTATTCACTCCAGGGTATACCCTGCACAATTCCTATGTCCTTTCATGAGTACAGTAGTAATAATCTATTATTATTTATACTTTGAAAACAAATTCCAACTAAAGCAGCAAAACTCAGAAGATGGAATTATAGATAATCAATACTGTTTTTGTAAATGAAGCTAGTCATAGGTGGCTTTTCCCTTTCTTCCCTATAGAGCAGGGGTAGGTAACCTATGGCACGCATGCCAAAGGCAGCACGCGAGCTGATTTTCAGTGGCACTCACACTGCCCGGGTCCTGGCCACCAGTCCGGGGGGCTCTGCATTTTAATTTAATTTTAAATGAAGCTTTTTAAACATTTTAAAAACCTTATTTACTTTACATACAACAATAGTTTAGTTATATATTATAGACTTATAGAAAGAGACCTTTTAAAAACGTTAAAATGTATTACTGGCATGCAAAACCTTAAATCAGAGTGAATAAATGAAGACTCAGCACACCACTTCTGAAAGGTTGCCAACCCCTGCTATAGAGGGAGAAGAGAGTTCAAGCCCTCTGTCTTCTGGCCCTGGGACTTACAATATGAATGCAAGAGAAAACAATACAAATTCAATATTAAAAATAGTCACTGTGTCATGGTTGACGCCAACTTTGATGGGCTGACGTCTTATCTGCAGTTTCCGCCCACTGCCCAGGATCCATCCTATGTTCCCTCCCCAGTTGTAGTACCCCATCTGCTGATGAGGCTCTCCAACACTTCTCCAGCTTAACATGCTAGCACAATGTGTTTCTTAATATACTGGAGTTGCAAGTGATTTCCTTATGGAGGTGCAGTGATTGTGAATAGTTAATGTGATGTTTGGGTGTGAAGGTATTTATTTGCTTTTAAGAATGTCTGGTTGGTTTTGTATGCAAACAACCTTAACTTTTAACCAAATTTTTTTTGGTGAAAATGTAAGTTCCCAAAATATTTTCACTTGTGGTCCTACATGACTTGTTTTGCTTCATAGAAGAGTGTGTGAGAGGAGATCTTCAAAGAAAGCAGCTAGGTTCCATCACTGGGAGTGTGGAATCCTTTTCTGAACCCAAGTTTGTAAATCACATTACAGATGTAGTATATCTTCCTACCATGACCAAGGTTTTGGGAACTTGTGAGTTTGCTATATGAAGGATTCTCCTTTTGAATAGGATTATTACCTATTGGAGAAATGTGTGTGGTTTATGTTTTGACAGTAGTTTTAATACAAAATAATATTTTTTTTAAATGCTAAAGAGACAATGTGGAGTGGTTGGCAAACAAGTTACTTATTTGTTTAATTAACAGTCAAATCGAAAGCATGCTCTAGAAGAGTGGTTTTCAAACTTTTTTTTCTGGCGACCCATTTGTAGAAAATTGTTTATGCCCTCGACCCAACAGAGCTGGGGATAAGGGGTTTGAGGTGTAGGAGGGGCTCAGGGCTGGGGCAGAGGGTTGGAGTGCAGGGCTGCGGAGTGGGGCCGGGAATGAGGAGTGTGGGAGGGAGCTCTGGGCTAGGGCAGGAGGTTGGTGTATGGGAGGGGGTTGGCTCTGGGCTGGGGGTGCAGGCTCTGAGGTGGGGCCAGGGATGAGGGGTTTGGGGTGAAGGAAGGGGCTCCAGGTTTGGGTGGGGTCAAGGCTGGGGCGCGGGGCTGGGGCGCAGGCTTACCTCAGGCAGCTCCCAGTCAGCGGTACAGCGGGGATGCTAAGGCAGGCTTCCTACCTGTTCTGGTACCACGGCCTGCGCTGTGCCCCAGAAGCAGCCAGCAGCAGGTTTGACTCCTAGGTGGAGGCACGCGGCTCTCGCCCGCAGGCACCACCCCTGCCAGCTCCCATTGGCCGGAACCCGGCCAATGGGAGTGTGGAGCCAATGCTTGGGGTGGGGGGTAGTGCGCGGAACCCCTTGTGTCCCCCACCCCCACCTAAGAGCTGGATCTGCTGCTGGCTGCTTCCGGGGTACAGCGCGGTGACAGAACAGGTAGGGGGACTTGCCTGCCTTAGTCGGGCAGGACCGCCGACGGGACTTTTAATGGCCCGGTTGGCGGTGCTGACCAGAGCTGCTGCGATCCAGTTCCTTACATTCCGTGACCCACGACTGGGTCATGACCCGTAGTTTGAAAACCACTGCTCTAGAAGAGTTTTAGAGATTTGTCTGCATCATGCAACAGAGGGTCCTGTGGCACCTTTGAGACTAACAGAAGTACTGGGAGCATAAGCTTTCGTGGGTAAGAACCTCACTTCTTCAGATGCAAGTCTTGCATCTGAAGATTTGAG